AGTGAACTGGTGTACACCCGCATCCTGGAGGTCAGCACCACTCACCAGGTTCGTAGAGAACGAGGGGAGGTAGAGACCAGACAGGGTGCCAGAGGGAGCCGCCGGACACGGGAGGACTGTGGAGAAGCGAGACAGGACAGGACCCCCAGAGGGGTCAGCCAGAGACACTGCAACCGGCCGACTCAGCGGTGTGAGTGTGGTGCAGTCCCGAAAGAAGGAGCGAGAGGCCCCAGAGTCAAGGGTGAAGGTGAGGGAGGCCGAAGCCGACGTAGTACCTGAGAGCGCAGACTCACCAGTACCTGAGGACGCAGACACACGGGCACCTAGAGCAGCAGCGTCGCAAGCACCTAGGGCAGCAGCCTCACCAGGACCTAGCGCAGCAGTCTCAATGCCCGGATCGGGCTGGAAACACCGGTAACAGTCACCCTCATCACTAATAGACACAGCATACATGGCAGAGAGAATAGCATCAAAGTCAAGATCATAGATGGCAACACCCGCCCTGGACAGCTCGCCCCAGCGAGGGATCTCTGAGGCCTCCGGGAACTGGTGACGCCACGCGTCCGTCAGGCGGCCAAAGCAGCGCTGGGTGAGGTGGGCACCCCCACACTGCTCACCCGCACGGTCGCCGGTGCGCAAAACGTAGGAGCACGGACCAAAACCCCCACCCCGTTGACGCGCAGTGTACCACTCACGAAGCTGCTGAGGGGACAGGGTGTCACGACCACGCTGCAGCTGCTGGCGCGAGCCACCACCGGAGCCACTCCTCTGCGAAGACCCGCGACCAGCACCACCGCCACCCCCGCTGCCTCCGCCGCCTCCGCCGCCTCCGCTACTGCCGCCGCCTCCGCCTCCGCCTCCACCGCCGCCTCCTCCGCCACCTCCGCTCCCACCGCCACCGCCGCCGCCACCTCCACCTCCACTGCCGCCACCGACCCCTCCACCCCCACCTCCACTCCCACCGCCACCCCCACTCCCCCCACTGCCGCCACCTCCACCTCCACCGCCCCCGCTCGCTCCTCCAGCGCCCTTGCCCCCCTTGCCCTTGCCAGAGCGGCGTCTCCCGCTAGGGGCAGACGCCACACCGACCGACTCAAGACCAGAGAGGTCGGCCGCAGCAGCAGAGGCAACAGAGGGCAGAAGGGGGGAGGGGGAACACCCCTCAAAGATGGGGGTGCGCGGGTCACCACGAGAGGCCCCTACAGCGACTATGCTCTTCTCGGCCGCTAGGAGGGACTTCTCGAGGAGGTCAACAGTGAGAGTGGTGGGACAGACAGAGAGAAAGTGGTCCCTGACTACGCGAAGGGAGTCAGGAAGGCGAGTGACTATGTAGTAAAGAGTGATGTACATGGGGGGGGGGTTCTTGGCGCAGAAGTTAGGAGGGAGTGCAGCTCGGTAGCGAGTGTCACTAGTGCGGAGGTGCGTAATGAGGTCAGCGACTGTGGGAAAGGCAGCAAGGTCAGGAAAGAGGTACGGTAGCATGAGACGGCTCAGTGCAGCAGTGGCAGGGGAGGAGTAGCGCGCAACTACAGCGTCGTACAAGGTCTGAGCACTCTTGTACTGACTAAAGTGCGCACGCTCGGAGGTAGGGAGGTGGCGACGCACAGCAAGACGTGCAGCAGCGTCGCGCGTGGCCCACTGGGAGCGAACAGTGGCGTCAGCATCAGCAGCAGGGGCAGTGGAGGCGCCAGAGGTGAGGTCAAAGAGAGAGAGGCCGTCTGCCCTATCGCACTGTAAGAACAGCTGCAGGTCATCTATCCAGACCTCAAAGTCAACGGCCCGACCCTCACCGTCAAAGACGAGAACACTAGGGGTGGCCATGACCCTAGACGACTAGCAGCGCAAACAGTAGGGTGAGGGCAGTGCAGTGAAAAGGCGCTGTGCTCACCAGACAGGGCAGGTCGGGCGGCCCGGAAGAAGGGCGGCGCGGCGGCTCGGCGGCTCAGCTGCTGGGCGGCTCGGCTGCTGGGCGGCTCGGCTGCTGGGCGGCTCGGTTGCTGGGCGACTCGGCTGCTGGGCGGCTCGGCTGCTGGGCGGCTCGGCTGCAGGGCGGCTCGGCTGCAGGGCGGCTCGGCTGCTGGGCGGCTCGGCTGCTCTGCTGTCGGGCGGCTCGGCTGGTGGGCGGCCGGGCGGCTCGGCTGCAGTGCGGCTCGGCGGCGGGGCGGCTCGGCTGCTCTGCTGCTGGGCGGCTCGGCCGCTGTAGAGGAGTGGCAGCGGGGCCGCTTGATAGGGCGGCAGGGCCGCTGCAGAGAAGCGGCGGGGCCGCTGGGTAGGGCGGCGGGGCCGCGAGATAGAGCAGCGGGGCCGCGTGGTAGAGTGGCGGGGCCGCGCGATGGGGCAGCGGGGCCGCGAGGAAGGGCGGCGGGGCCGATAGGTAGGGCGGCGGGGCCGCGCGATGGGGCGGCGGGGCCGCGAGGAAGGGCGGCGGGGCCGCTAGGTAGGGCAGCGGGGCCGCGCGATGGGGCGGCGGGGCCGCGAGGAAGGGCGGCGGGGCCGCTAGGTAGGGCGGCGGGGCCGCGCGATGGGGCGGCGGGGCCGCGATGGGGCGGCGGGGCCGCTAGGTAGGGCGGCTGGGCCGCTAGGAGAGAGGCGGCGGGGCCGCGAAGACGGGCGGCGGGGCCGCTGAGACGGGTGGCGGGACCGCAGTGAAGGGCCGCTAGGGCGGCTCGACGAAGTGAGGGCCCGGAGCGCGACTCGGGCTGAGCGCGCTTCGGGCAGGAAAAAAAAAATCGATGTGGTGGGCCCTAAGCACAGTTCCCAAGGGGGAACCTGCTCGATACCATGAGAAGATTTGATCAAGAATGAATGAACTATGAAATGAAGTGAGTACAAATATGAAACCCTAATTGGTTGTACCCCCTATGGGATACCCCACTATAGCCTACACAACAGCATAAGCTACAATGTTCTGACAATCCCGCTGTGATTGGACCGCACGGCAGGATTTGCGTTAGCGCTGACAAGAAAGATTCCACCCCCTTCTAGAGGATTCGGGTGGAATCGATTGCCATGAGGCGCATGACAATGCGATTGGGCCGCACGGCAGGATGCGAGTCAGCAACGGCAGGTGCGCTGCTTCTGGACGTGAATGTGTGGTGGGAAACCGAGTCGCGGTTGATTTCCCCTGAAATCCGTGCACGAACCCACGTGAACGAACGTTTGGCTGTGTTCACCTTAAGGAGAGCTTCGATTTGGTGCCTTCAAAACTAAATTTCATTTTCCCGTCTTAGAAGCGCATGCGCTTATATCCGTGACTCATTTACAAGCGCCCCCCTAAAAAAAACTGATTTTATTATAAGCGCATATGCGCTACTATCCGGGGTAATACGGTATGTTAGCCTTGCTTGTGTTCTTGTGTGCTGCGTTTTCCTAGTGCAATTCGGTTCCTGGATTTGTTTATTGAACCAAATTTAGGATTTCCATCCAGAAGAGACACACGACTTGTACTCTTTACATTGTTCATATAAACCAGCTTGGCTAGTACGTTCCCCCCCCCCCCCCCCCCCCCCCCCCCCCCCCCCTCGAATGCCCTTTGCATAGAGGAAAATATTATGTAGTTATCACATATTTTACATTGTAGAGCCGCTTAGTAGAAATTCTATGGTAGTAGGGATGATGCAATGCGAGGAGGAGTTAGTACATGCTGTAACGAATGTGAAACACGCGTTTCTTTGTACGCGTATGCATGAAAACGCGAAAGTTTGACCTATACACGTTTCTGGATTTCGGAACTCGAAGCATTCTGGAAGTTTGACCCACACACGTTTCTGGATTCTTCTGGAAATTTGACCCGTACAACCATACTGTATGCGCTGTATTCTGAAAAAAGGGAAACACAATTTGCTCACGGTCTTGCTCGCAGCCTCGTTATTTGTCGCCATCTTCCGATTTCACATCACATGCCCCGCACCTTCTCAACACAGTCGCCAAGCCACCAAACCCTGCATAAATTTCCGCGCGATTGTGGCTTCGTTTTCATGACATCCGTAAATTGGACACGGTTACGGATGGTTATATATGGTTCAGTCTGTTTCAATTGCGGCCAACTCCGAATAAATCAAGATCAGCCTACCGAATACAAGATCTACAGACCAGACACCACACCGTGTTGGTTTGGCCCAGCTGGATGTTGAAGCTAGTACGCGGCCCGCGTGGATGGCTAAGGCAGCTACAGTACTAGTTACCTCAGGCTGCATGGACACGTCGTCGTCGTCGTCTTATTGAGCGTCGTCGTTGTCTTACGCCTTTGTACAGTGACAAGCTACCCTCAGGTTCTGTAGAGGCAGCATTCCACTAGCGGCAGTGGTCCAGTCAAAGGTTAGGTAGGTGTTGCGTCCAATCGGAAAGTCTACTAGAATGGATGAAGTTACACCGACCTATCTTCAGAGCCCATCCATCTGTGAGGTGTCACTCGCGGAGTGGTTAAAAACGTCCAGAAATCCGCCTACGGTGTGACGGGCCGACATGCAACAAGCGGCCTAAAATCGACCTAGATGCTTCCAGCCAGCCCGCGCCGCTATCCTCTCCTATCATGCGTCTGCCAGGCAGTGAGCGGTTTGACTCGCGTCGAGTGTGACTCGTCACATGAGTTGATATATTGGCTCTTTGAGAAGCCACAACCAGCAAATGCTCCGCAGCTGAACTCATTTTAGCGTGGTTCTGCCAATCTAGAGTCTAGTGGTTTCAGGCAGCCTTGGAGGTTCAGGTTGAGAGAGAGCATGGAGTTCTGCCGCGCGTCTCTCCTCTGCCGCCTGCTGCTGTAAGCCCTTGAGATTCCGACTGGGCTGCTTTCTGCCTTTCAGTTTCGTTCATCCCATGTCACTTGCTGTTGTGGTCGGTCGTTTGAGAAAGTCGTCCCCCATGGATTGGGATATCTCAAATCTGCCCTGCCTGTCCGTTTGTCTGGATGCCTGCCTGCCTGCCTGCCTGCCTGCCTGCCTGCCTGCCTGCCTGCCTGCCTGCCTGCCTGCCTGCCTGCCTGCCTGCCTGCCTGCCTGCAGGGGCGACGGTCTGCACTGCCTACGGCGCGTCCGCCACATCATTGAGCGCGCCGCTCCTTTCCCACCTTGGCGACTCTTCTATTGCTTCCGCGGATTCCACCGCTTCTGCTGCTCAGGCCAAGCCTCTTTTTTATAAGGGAAAGGTAGTCGGTAAGTGTGTGAGCCGTGAGAATCCACACCTCTCGTTCGGTAAGTGTGTCACCTTGGCGGCTCTTCTATTGCTTCCGCGGATTCCACCGCTTCTGCTGCTCAGGCCAAGCCTCTTTTTTATAAGGGAAAGGTAGTCGGTAAGTGTGTGAGCCGTGAGAATCCGCACCTCTCGTTCGGTAAGTGTGTCACCTTGGCGGCTCTTCTATTGCTTCCGCGGATTCCACCGCTTCTGCTGCTCAGGCCAAGCCTTTTCTTAAGGGAAAGATAGTCGGTAAGTGTGTTGTCGTCAGAATTCACACCTCTCGTTCCTATACCTCTGCGGGGAGGCCCGGCGGTTTTCCAGCTGTGGCTCTTAACGGTCTGGATCAGCGTTGGCTGTAATCAAGATCACCATGCGCATCATTCAGTCGCATAGTAGTGTTTGCAATACCGTTTTATGGCATCATTCAATAGTGACCTGAATGGCTTGTGCTGATTTGTGCATCATCATAAATCTGTACAGCATTGTCGATTGAAGATGTGTGGCTCCAGCTGAGAAGTGCCTGCCAATGGCACATCAACCGTGTGCTTCCGGAGTCCGCCTCTCTGTGTTGCAGCTGAAGTGCGCTGTCTGCTTCGCAGCTGTGTCCGCTGCAGCTGTCTTCTGCAGCTGTGTTTTCCGCAGCTGAATTGTGTGCGGCATCATTCACTTCCCCTCCTTCTCGATCCTTTAGCGTTTCCCGCGTCTATGCTGCTCGTCAACTTGAAAACAGCACATACCAACCTTTTCGTCTGCCCCCGTTCCATCCCGTTCCCTGTTCCCTCCCGTTCCCGTTCTCTCCCGCTCCCGTTCCCTCAGTCAAATACGTGGCGAAGCTTCGTCCAACCAAGACCGGCGACAAAGGAGCTCGGGGGAAAGTTATCTACGGTATTAAAAAGTAAGCTGTCAACTCGTTCACTTGTCCACTCGTTCACTTGTCCACTCGTTCACTTGTCCACTCGTTCACTTGTCCACTCGTTCACTTGTCCACTCGTTCACTTGTCCACTCGTTCACTTGTCCACTCGTTCACTTGTCCACTCGTTCACTTGTCCACTCGTTCACTTGTCCACTCGTTCACTTGTCCACTCGTTCGCTTGTCCACTCGTTCACTTGTCCACTCGTTCACTTGTCCACTCGTTCACTTGTCCACTCGTTCACTTGTCCACTCGTTCGCTTGTCCACTCGTTCACTTGTCCACTCGTTCGCTTGTCCACTCGTTCACTTGTCCTGTGGAGTTGGTCCCCATCACTTGTTTCTAGACGTCCACACGAACAACCAAGTGTTTTCACTGGCAGTATTCTTTCAGGCAGCAATGCTTCTATGCAGTGCATTGGCAGTAACTCTGTTAGGAAGAATCTCTGCAGGGCCCTGGCAGTAGTAAGGCAGCACTTTCTAACCGTGACGATTGTCTCCGATTCTCAACATCCACAGGTACTCTGCGAACTCCTACTCCATATTTGATAATATCTTGATCGTCGGCCTCAAGGGAGGAGATAAACCCACATATAGTTTCGGGGCTTCCTGCGCTGTAGATCCCACGCTCGAAAGCCCTGTTCTGAACGGTACAAGTCCGAAGTCTCGTAGCAAGCGCTACAACTGGAAGCATGCGAGTCAGTCAAGCTGGGCTGATGAGGCATCTGCACGCCAGATTCTCACTAATAGTTTAGTGACGGGAAACTATATGGTTGTGGGACGTGCAGGCAACAAGCACGCGCTTTGTGCTAAGGTTGTGAAGTATGGGAATTAGTAAAGAGCAATTGGTTGGAAGGCTGGAAACGGCATTGCTAGGGTTTCATGCAGTGGTGTGGTTGTTGAGAGTTATGGAGATGCATGCGGATATGGTACGGTATTATGATTTCAAAAGTTTCTATTTGGACGGACGGGCGAGGTGTAGTTCTAGTGTGTTGTCCATACCACAGGAATACTTATACTGTGCCCTTTTTAGTTCATAGAACACATTCCCTGTAAACTCTGTTTCCATGATCTGGCTGGAAAGTGTAATGGTGGTGTAACGCATTTCTGTCACAAGGTGGATATTTGCTGACGACAAGACGGCCGAGTTGGATATTTGCAATGCCTCGTCAGCAAGTACCGTAACTGTTCCCCCTCTAGGAAGTTCCAAGTTGGAAGCCTGAGAAGCGTTCTTGCGGGTGTTTGGACTAGGCCTGCTGATTGGTCTGGTCACCAGTTAGAATGTACAAGTCACCAGCCACAAAAATGTCATCAATATCTTGCCCTTGGAAATTCCTGCCTAACAACTCATGGCTTCTCGCTGTGAGCAAAAGGAGGGCCATCAAACAAGCAGGCAGACACGGGGGTGTGTGTTTGGGGAGGGCAGTGGGATGTGGGGAGTGTGGAGTGCGGGGTGGGCTGGGTGGGGAGCGGGGACTGGGAGGTGGAGGGTGGGGGGTGGGGAATGTGGAGTGGGGAGCGGGGAGTGGGGAGTGGGGAATGTGGAGTGGGGGATGGGGGGGGTGGGGAGCGAGGAGTGGGAGGTGGAGGGTGGGGGGTGGAGTGGGTGGTGGGGGGGGGGAGGTGGGAAGCGGGGAGTGGGAGGTGGAGGGTGGGGGCTGGAAAATGTAAAGCGGAGGTTGGAGATTGAGGAGTGGAGGGTGGGGGTGGGGAGGGGAGTGGGGGTTGGGGAGTGGGGGGTGGGGAGAGGTTTGTCTGAAGAGAGGTTTGTAAAAATTAATTATTCTTCCCCTTGCCTCCCTTTCCCCCTCCTTTTCCCGTCCCCTTGGCGCTCAGTTGAGCGGCTCTCACAGTCGCAGCAGCTTTGGCATCATCCCTCTTCTTCTTCTCCTCCTCCCTCCTCGCTGCTGCTGCCTCCCTCTCTGCTCTCAACTCACTGCCAGGGACAGGGGAAGGTGGAGTGTGATTTGAGTCAAGAAGGTGAAAGGGAAGAGGAAGATGATAAGAAGGAATGGGAAGGAACGGGGAGAGTTTGAAAGAAAGAAAGGGGAAGGAATGCGAAGAAAAGACGTGGATAGGGGAAACATGTCGATGAGGAACAAGGCTGATTACAAGGCTGGCAGAGAGATGTAGAGGGGATATAACAAGGAGCGGTGCACGGGAGAAAAGACGTGGATAGAGGAAACATGTCGATAGGGAACAAGGCTGAGGAATAGTAGGTCTCTATGAATAAAGTGCAGTGGACAGATTACATGTAGTGGAAGCAGGCTTTTGGGATTAAAAAAAACCAGCTAATGTGCAGTGGACGGATTACATGTAGTGGAAGCAGGGAGTGCTATTCCACTTCACTTCACACAAGCCTCTCATTAAAAGAAGCAGGGAGTGCTATTCCACCCCACTTCACACAAGCCTCTCAATAAAAGAAGCAATGAGTGCTATTCCACCCCACTTCACACAAGCCTCTCACTAAAAGAAGCAAGGAGTGCTATTCCACCCCACTTCACACAAGCCTCTCAATAAAAGAAGCAAGGAGTGCTATTCCACCCCACTTCACACAAGCCTCTCACTAAAAGAAGCAAGGAGTGCTATTCCACCCCACTTCACACAAGCCTCTCACTAAAAGAAGCAAGGAGTGCTATTCCACCCCACTTCACACAAGCCTCTCATTAAAGAAAGCAGGGAGCGCTATTCCACCCCACTTCACACAAGCCTCTCCTTAAAAGAAGCAAGGAGTGCATGCCACGCAGGCGTGGCAAGGAGGGGTGACCAAGACGGTGGTGCCAGAGGAGATTCTGGTGCGTGAGGAGACGACACGAACAAGGCGCAACTACCTCAATCGACGCAGCTACCTGACCTGACTCAGCCACCTGTGCATACTCAGTGGTCAGTGTCTACAGACCAGACCCGGGCCTCCGAGTAAATGTGGCGATGTGCTCGCCAGTGCGTGAGTCCGTACAAATCGCCACGAGCTCTCCCCCAGGCTGGGTAACAGTGACTGGTCTTGTAAGACAGCTCTAGCCACCAAGTTCCTAGCGAATGAGGGGAGGTGGAAACCTGTGAGGGAACCGGAGGGGGCTGCGGGACACGGGAGAACAGTGGAGCTACGTGCAACAACTGGGCCACCAGATGGGTCGGCCAGAGTGATAGGGACAGGGGTTGTGAGCGGTGTGACTGTGGTGCAGTCGCGGAAGAAGCAGCGAGACGCGCCTGAATTGAGCAGGAAAGTGTGCAAGGCCTCCTCAGACTCTGCACCTATGCTAGCTGAGTCACAAGCACCTAGACTAGTAGCCTCTACACCACCAGGTGCCTCTCCACCCCCAGCACTAGTACCCCAAGCTCCGTCACCGGGTCTGCCCCACCGGACAGCCCACTCACAAAGGTGCTGCGGCGAGAGTGTCCCCGGCGGATGCTGCTGCCGCTGCTGTTCACCCCCAGAACCTCCGCGTCCACCAACGGCACTACCAGCAGGAGTAGACTCACAGGTACCTCCAGTCGTAGCACCACAGGCTCCGCCACTGGGGCTGCCCCACCGGACAGCCCACTCGCGAAGCTGCTGCGACGAGAGCGTCTTCTGCAGACGAGTACGAGCACCGCGAGCACCAGCACCTCTAGCTCTAGCACAGCTAGCTCCACCACCAGGGCTGCCCCACCAGATAGCCCACTCGCGAAGATGCTGCGGCGAGAGAGACTCCTGCACACTCGGCTGCCGCTGACGTAGGACAGTGGTAGTGGCCATGGCAGTCAGTGACAGCCAGTAGCAGCAGCGGAAGAGCAGTTAGGGAAGCGCGCGAGTAACTGGGTGCTCTAGCGCGGGTCACTCCTGGGGCAGGGCTGGCGGTGTTTGTAGTGCAGGGCAGTGAGCGGGCGGCTCAGGGCGGGCGCTTGAAGGGCGCGTGCGGGGTACAGGGCAGGGCAGCGCGCGGGCTGCAGGGCAGGCAGCGCACGGGCTGCAGGGCAGGGCAGTGCGCGGGCCGCAGGGCAGGGCAGCGCGCGAGCTGCAGGGCAAGGCAGAACGCAGGCTGCACGGCACGGCAGCGCACGGGCTACAGGGCTACGCGGGAAGGGCAGCGCGCTGGCTGCAGGGCGTGCGGGCAGCAGGGCAGGGCAGCACGCGGGCTGCAGGGCAGGGCAGCGCGCGAGTTGCAGGGCAGGGCAGCGCGCGGGCTGCAGGGCGGCGCGCGGGCTGCAGGGTGGCGCGCGGGCAGATCGCCCGGGCTGCAGGGCTGCAGGGCGCACGGGCGCGTGGGCTGCAGGGCGCACGGGCGCGTGGGCTGCAGGGCGCACTGGAAAACGGCTCGCCTAGGGGCGGGATTCGGGCAGGAAAAGCGCCTCGCCAAGGGGCGCGATTCGGGCAGGAAAGACGGCTCGCCTAGGGGCGCGATTCGGGCAGGAAAAACGGCTCGCCTAGGGGCGCGATTCGGGCAGTAAAACGGGCAGAACAGAACTAACGGTGGGCCCTAAACGAGTGGTCCTACGGATGGACCTGCTCTGTAACCATGTCAAGAATAACGTGCAAGGTGATACAAATAGGGTTGACCTAAAATGTTGTATCCCTGAGAGTATGCCCCACTACAGCCTAGAGACATACAAAGCAATTTGACAAGCACAGGAGAGCCGCATGTGATAACTCAGCCGTCTCGCTGACCCGATCTGATCTCGAACACAGGATTGAGAATCGCAAAAATAGCGAGGGTGGAGGGGTAGCTTTTTGTTCAGGTGCTTCGAAGATGCTTGGCTAAAAGCTACGCCATGCCTACTTTGCAGCTGCTTTGAACGTTGACGCTTCGGGAATCGGCGGAATGAGCGGTCTGATAAGTTGGAGCTTGCGTGGAGGAGTTACATTGGTGTTCAATTCATACCTACGAGACACCTGCAGTTATCGAAATGGTCACTTTCGCCAATGTCGCACGATCAAGGGATTCTCACATTTTCAAAACCTTGCTAAGAACACTGAAAATGTCGCCTCTGGTACCTGGTTTTAAAAT